CCTTTAAGTAAGAGTTAAAATAAATAATTCCATAAATATTTTTCATCTCTGTCTGGAATCGTTTTTTATTGTTTATTATTATCAATTGTTTGAAAGATCACCTGTAAAAATACATTTTTTCAATCGTGCGTGGGGGTTAAAATAGAGACTCGGGGAAAAATACGTAAGTTCCGCACGAGGCTGTTCTGTTATATAGATTGTTGAATGGAGTAAAATAACATTAGAACGTCTGAATCGCGACTGTTGTGTGAATGAAATCTCCCATTTGTACATCAACACAATCATTAACGTGCAGTAATAGATACCTAAGCATGATGCCAAAGTTTTCAGTGTTTGTTGAAACAACTATAATAACCTTTCATAACAACGAAAAGAACGCTCGTACAAAGTGTATAGCACACTCATAGATTTGAACGCTTGCGTTTAAATTCATGTGTGCAGGTGATTCCCTTTCAATAAAACAGAAGTTATTTCATTTTAATAGATCCATCTTGTTATCAAACGGTTTTTTCTACCTTTTTTCCTCCTTTTCCCCATTTTATCATTGATTATATAGAAGTGACTCACAGAAATGATTGCTTCTTGATGAATTAAAGTCTTTTGCTATTTTTCATTTCTTTGAGTTTTTATTAAATTTTAATTAAATACAACATTAACAGAAGTTTATCTAATCTGTATCAATTAAAGCAATTGCGCATTTTTTATTCCCTACAAGGAGAAATGCATGCTGTTAACCTATCCAATTAGTTTTGATTTCATCTATGCTCAACATACTCATTTTAATGAATTTCTGATTAGCATTTTGCTATGTCACTATCTGCATTTATTCAATCTTTGATTATAGGTTTAAAAAATGCACACAAACACATTTCTCGTGGCTTTATTCAAACGATTCTTTCACTTTTATTACATGCCGGCCAATTTCGTTTGCACTGTAACGCTAATATGTAAAGGTTTATTTAGATTAATTTGCAAACCTTTCTCTGCTATGTACTCTCTTTTTTCTCAATGGGAGTTCAAAAGATGTACAAAATTGTTTATATTTTACGACAAAACATCTGCATTTCTGTGCATTTGCGCAGATTTTTGTGGTACAGTTTTTACCTATATTTTTGTTACCTTAAATTCCATTAGAAAGTCTTTTTCGGCATGTTGTAAGCATTTGGGAGGTCCATCCGTCGTGAAACATATTAATTACGTAATGATTTTACCATGTTTACCAAGTTTGTTTCCGCCATTTGGCACGCTTTGTGAACCACCCAATAGCTAATTTACATTGCAGAGGGTACAAAACCGACGTTAGAACAAACAGTCAACCTACATCATCCTTAAAAAACGTCTCTAACACTTCCCTGTCATTATTTCTAGGCTAAATTTATATAGCAACTAGTCGAAACAACTAGATTTGCACACTCAACATTTTTATAAATGTTACAATTGTGTACACATGCAATATCATAGCATCTAAAAAAAATTAAAAAGTTGTTAAGTATGCGTAATTTTTCTATGAAGTCAAAAGTTTTGTTTACTACGTAAAATATTGTTGATCGTTTTACATTCAGCCCGAGAATGTCCAAGCATATGTTGCACTTTTTAGTCAAGATAAGAATTACAGTGCTATGTTTCCGACGGGTGGACAGAAAGATTTGTTCTTAATTTCTCTAGGTTACTATCAGCTCTGTTTGTGATTATACTAGATTGATCTACAAACTCACGGTCGTTATCATGGTTGTAGTTTTTGCCACAGTCATGATCTGTTTCTGTTTCCCACCTGCTTGTTTCTCTGCTTATCTTATCATTGTTTAACACTCATTTATTGCACAATTTCCTAAATGCATTGACTGTAGAAATAACGACTTAAGTTTTTGATAAGCCCTTAACGATTCGATAGTGGTGTGAATTTGGTTTGAATCCAAATCAACTTGGCAAGTCGATAAGGTGCTAATTATTTGTAGATAGCCCCTGATATCCTTCTAGATTGGTTCAGTGTTGATGTGGAGGGGAACAAAGCCTTTGATAGCCTTTTTGACACCTTACATATCAGTCCATGCTCGAACAAAGCTTGTCAAAAACAGCAAAAATCTATGAACGAACTACAAATAAACAAAGAAACTTCTTTCAAAATTGTATCAAATTGTTATGTCTGTTACTGTGGTACAAGTTTATATGAAGTTCTCTGTTCGATCATTCATTCATTTTGCGGTTATAATTGTGTTGTAGGCAAGATATTGAGAGGTGGTTTGAGTCATTTTAGCATTGTTTATCTCACTGGATATATGTATATGGCTTACCTTGTCTTTTGGATCCGGAACTGTGTCTTGATAATCCTGCTGAATTTGTTTAATTGATTTGGCCTGTTTTTAATTTCAAACAGTCCGTTAAAATTATCAGGGATTTCAATTTCAAAATTACAAGCAGTATAGAACCTAGTCAGAGTTCACGGAAGGCAAACTCTAATCACTTTGTTTCCATCAATTTAAGGGTTAATTCTAGTGACTGGTGAAGGGGGATAATTAAGCAACTAAAAGCACGACTGACCTGGTTATATTCCGGCAAAACAGGAAGTCAATTTATAGTTATCATCAAATATAGACATGAAAATCCATAAATAGACTGTTTAAACTTTATATTACATCATGAATTAACACATGTCCATATTAGATCATGTTGAAGTTCGACGGTATCAAATAATTCCCTTCCGAGACCAGGATGGAAGATGTGTTTACCTTTTATATTACAGTAACCAAATGTCAGCGCATTTTCTTTCAGCTTATACAATGACTTGCACGCTATTCTCGAACGTTATTTCTAAAGCTATCGTTTTAACATCATCAAATTATATTTTTATCATATAACATACCACTCTAAAGTCGCTATGAACAAATATGCCGCATTAATCTCTTTATATTTACAAGGAAAATCTTTAAATTATGATAAATACACTTATATCGTTTACTTTACCAGGAAGATTAATTCTATGAACATTTTTTTTATCTAATTGTTGAGCAGTTTAGACAGCGACCTTATTGCATAACTGAGGTAGCTGTGCATCACCGGCAAGTAATTAGGTTGCACACTATTTAACTTAGATAAGAATCCTTGTCCAAATAACCTGTAGTCAAATTTATCTTCAGATAAGAAGTTAATGATATGTTACTGTTTATAAAATGTTTTTTACGCTGGGAGAAACTGGAGCTATCGTGTCTTCTCCCCCTTTTGTTTAATCAAGCAAGGTCAGTAAATGTGTGTGCTACTAATATAAATACAAAAACGTAAGCGATGTTATGACTTTTAACTGTTTATAACAATGTCAGGGAAATTTTGATATAAATCATATTATCTGTATAGTATAATTCATGATATATAATGGTTATAAATTAGGTAAACAAGCCTTTGTTAAGTACTTAACAATTTTGGTGATTTGTAAATGAATGTTGTACCTATTTAGTCATTAAGGCTAAGTCAGTACAAATAACCGGTTAACAGGTATAAATATGATTCAAATTCTACGTATATTTTGAATGTGGAATCATAGTTTTTGAGGTACAGTGACCGTAGTCCGTTTCACATTGATAACAGCATAATGACTTCAATGAATTAAACTGACACCCAGCGGTGTATTTGTTTCATTCAACTTATTTTAAATATACACAGACGCATTATATATAAATTTAAAATACAATACAAAACCTTTTAAAGCTAGCTTTTGCAAGTGCCAAAAATTTGACCTGTTTAAAAGCGTTTTATTATAACAGTAATGTACACGGTATAAGTTCATGAAACCTACACAAGTTCTATCATTTTCCTGTTAAACAAACTCTCAAAAGACTATGAGTCAAACGAACGCTCAATAGACTATGAGCAGTTAAATGGAGAGAGACGAAGCTGATCGAACGTACGCAAACTAATTACGGTTGATTTACCTTCACATATCTAAATTTTAATGCTTACTTAATACTCATATAGTCTTGGAAGCGAAAGCTTTACCTCTTTTTCGGAATCAATTAAAAAGTATTGCCTAATAAAAATCGATTTTGAATTGGTTTCAGAAGATTCTATTGATATCACCGATACCGACTTTGAAAGAATTTCCATTAAATTCCTCTTTGATAGCTATTTTTGTGCTTAATTCGTTTAACATACTTTTTCTGATTTTTTTTTATATATTTTTGTTGTCTGTTCAATTAAAGATAAGCAATATGCGAGTAAACTCCCTCTCGTGTTTATTTAAATTTTTAAATTAATTTCCACTAACGTCCTTTTTGATTAAAAAAATGTAATAAACATTGGAAAAAGTAATAAAATCAAATGAATGAAAGCAATATAAAATTGTTAATGTAAAGTTAATGTAATATTATGATGATTGAATGTTGAACGTTTTGTTCATTTTCCAACCTATCTATTAATACATTTTACATTTTTCATCTCGCATTCCATTGTATTAAAGTCATTACATATCATTATCAGTTGATAAGTATGTAGTTAACCATACTGCAAAGTTGTCACGTGGTTTGTAAAGTAACAAGGTGCGCAGTTGGAATAAATTTATGAATAGGTATTTCTTATTTATCCATCATCTTAAATACGTAGATTCGAATTCTCGATTAGAAGAAATGCGTGCAATCACATGATACGTACTTTTGATGACGAATACATAAAGATAGCCATGGCACAGATCTAATGTATTAAGTGACCTACCAAAAATAAGCTTTATTGTCATTCAAAAAAATATTAAGTGAAACACTGTTACATTGTAGTTGTGTAATAAGTGGGGCCCAAAGTCGATGCACAGCAGAAAAATAAACAGCTTGTTATTGTCAAATAACGAAATAATATCATACACGGTCAGGTATACAAGCACCTTAATATAATGAAAGGGGGTTGGTGTGAGACAGGGAGACTACGTCTAATAAAAATCCACAAATATATTTGAACAGAAAATGATGTCATTTTTTCGAAGTTGTTGGCTCCATATTCAAATTGTTTTATTTTACTTTCAGGTCGATGGTGCAAGCCTTAGAAATAATCCTCTAAAAGACGCGAAGGTGGACTTTTTTGAACATTTCTTTATGAACGTTAGTGACGGCATTGAAGAGACTGGGACGCAAATAAGAAAACATTTGTTATATAATCTATGTAGTGAACGATTAGTTAAAATAATTCGAAAGAGTCGAAAAGGAATTAACGCTAGAGGGAAGAGAAAAGGGAAAAATATGAAATTTAGTAAGCATATTTTATGTCTATTTTAATGATTTTAACAATGCCTCTGATCAAGTTTCTGTTCCTATTATTGTGTTGTCTTAATTGTCAACATCTTTTCCACATTCGTCCACATTATCATTATAAATTTTAATTACTATTACATGCTTTCATTTTATCTGGTGATACACATGTACGATATTTGGAAATAAACCAGTGCTAAGAGAAGGGTGTTACTTTTGTACATCCTTGATTCAAACAAAACATCGCTATGAAAAAATGTCTGTAATGTCACAACAACGCGCAAATAAGTAAATTTTATTTTTTTAAAAATAGCTCAAAGCATGAACGCTTTGTAGATATAAGGGATGTTAACATACAAAAATATCTGAACGACGTTTTATTGCCGGAATGTGTAAAATTTGGCTTATGTATCCGTTTCATTTAAAGATGCCTCGTATTTTAAAGAAAATTAGGATATAGCGACATTTTATTGACTATGATGTCATTAAATTCCCCTGCTTACTGATGTATTGCAAAATACACTGTATTAATTCAAGAGGTATCTATTTTTTTCGTAGTTTTGTTGACACCTTGATGATTATCCCAATTCAACTTGGCATACGTCAGATAATGATGTTAAATCCACATCAGGGGCGATTCAAATTGGTCTTGAAAGTTAATTGGGTGTTTTCTTAAGACATCATGCAGTCGGGTCTTGTTCTTTTCAACTACTTAAACCTCCTTTAATATTCGAATACAATCGATGTAAAAGGAGCACAAAATCTGTGACTATAATTTGAAACCTTACTGTACTATAATTAACTTGGCGGGTTTAGAATGGACAGCTGTAGAATTAATTCGCACGTTTGACTTTTTCAAACAAACAGACGGCCTCTTAAACATGCCTTTAGAGTTGTTTAAAAACACCTCAATTTTCAATGCAGTCACCGATGTACTGACCTCATGTCGACTTGCAATACGCTTATCGATGGCTCCAAATTTTCATTGTCCTTAATCCCAGGGCAGACCTATGCTAAACATTGAAAGAGTACATCATTTTAGATGTATTTAATGTCCGACTTAAGATTATTATCTGTTGAAATGCTTTTTAACGTTTGTTTAATGATTATTTTGCTGACCATTACAAAGGGTGAGAAAAACAAACATGGATGGACATACTACACCAAACTGGATACCTGATCTGCTAGAGATATCTTTATTCTAATCATTTACCCTCTTCAATCTATATTATACCATTGTTTACCATCCAAACACAAATATATAGATCAAACAAATAAAGTCTTTATAGTCTGTTTAAACTCTATCAAGGACCTATTTCGTTTCATTAAAAATAACGACGAGTAATGGGCTAGCGTTACTTACTAAAACACGTTTAAAACCTCACGAAAATCACTTTAATAAATATTTAATAGGCTTAGGAAAATCGTGTAATCAGACAATTGCATTTGCTAGTACCAGGTCAATGACAATCTAGGTTAAGGGAAAATTAATCGATCTTTGATAGGGTAAAAAACGTACGATACATTGATTTTGGTTGTGGCATCTGTAAAACAATTTCTGCACGAAATCATGTATTTATTATATGTATCCCAAAATAACTTTAAGCATCTTTGTAAAGTACTGAGTGAAACTTTCCAATTCGTGATTCTTTCATTTTTATGCAAATTTTTTTTACGCTTTATAAAATGGCATAAATATATATATCTTATCCCTATCTAATGGAGGGTCTAAAACTTATTGTATTATTACAAAGCGATTTTTCAGTTCACGCTTGCCTTCATCGATTGAGCAATGACACCGTGAAGAAAAATATATGAAATTGCGTTAATATATCTAAAACAACAAATATAAAACATATGCAACTGTGTTCGTACACTTTAACTGGATCATATCATGACGCCGCAACAAATATTCATGTGATGACAATAGATTTATAGTTAACAAAATTTTAGAGAATCTATTCTCTATTTGAAGGTATATCTTAAAACTAATCAAAGTTGAAGCATTAAGTCATATTTAAAGAACCGAGTGATAGTTCAAGTAATACCAATATTCAGATCTTTTAGATGAAGTAAAAACAAAATATAATTGTATGAAATAAAAACAAATATATATATACATATATATAAATACATTTCTTTGTATTAAGTATTGATAAAACACCCATACAATCTTGATTAATGTAATGTTTTTATGTTGGATATACTTTACACTTTTACATTTTAAAATGGTATAATTTGCACGTGTATTTCGCATCGAGTAAATTTCTTCTACTTATATATATCAATAGTAGATTTATTAAAATTTGTTTATACTGCGTGTTATTTAGTGTAATTGTTTCCTTTTCTGGAGAAAAAGAAAAAGAAATTTACAAATCTATCAAATATTTTCTGCTGAAATATTTATTACGTACATAATTAGTTCCCTACCAACGCTGAGGATAATACTCGTAAATTTCGTGCAGTAATTGCAAAATTGGTTTTTGTTCAAAGAGTTGTCGACTTCAAAGGTCTATGCTTAAAGCATGGATCTAGAATCATCTTACATCCATTCTTTATTATCTACGCCTCTGTTATATAATCTTGAATGTGCTGACAGGCTTAAACAACGAAAAGTTGCAAATGGTTTAATAAGTATTACGGGCACATAGGGTTAATAGAAAAACGCCGCCCCAAAAAACTTTCTAGGTTAAAGATCAGTGGTTTTAAAAAATGGCTAAAAACTTGTTTGGTTATTTATCTAAAATTTCTGCTGTGTAATTGTATGAAATGTTAAAGATATATATTTTCATCTGTCACCTGAAACAAGATAGATATGGTTATCCAAGCAACGGGGATGTTTTATATTTTACACATCATTACATTACAAACGGCTTTTGGTTGTTTTCCCATAAATTTTAATAGATCAGTACACAAAGAAGATAAAATGTCTATAATGATATAATGGCACACAAAATGACAGTTCATGTCTCAGATTTTATAACATACCAATACCGTGTATTGTCTACATTTACTATTTCTGAAACATCCTTAAAAGTTATTTTAAATGCTTAAATAGTTTAAAAACATGCTGAGAGTTAGGGGCAGAAAGTCATCAAAATGAAAATAAAGTCTTTCGAAGACCAATTTAAAAAGTATTCTTTTATTTGCAGGTAGACTAATATTTGAATCCACTCCCAGCGGGACCATAAAAATATACGGGGAACATACAGGCCTACATATTTGCTTCAGTAGAAAAGGGAAATTAAGAGCTCAGGTAAGATAATGTTTCACTATTATGAGTTATTATATCATTGTAAATAACACTTTCCTGGTATATTGTCATTGCCGTAAATATTTCTTCCAGGACTCGCTACTAAAGCATTAATAAGGTCAGTGATTCTACCTGTGTAAATGTGAGAATTGTTTTTCTAATTTTATATATTCAAGAAAAAAAGCATTCTGTTGCTTATAAGATTATCGCATGAGTTCCGTCTTCACCGGAGTTTTAAGGGTCACTTGACATACGAGAGATATAGTTGGGTTTATTTTCCATAGAGTAATCTATGGTCATTATATACCATAAAGCTATTTGCTGGCTCTGTCAAGTTTAAAGTTTTAATATGATTTAATGATAATGCATAAATACAGCAGATGAAACAATTCCTGTCTTATGAACCCGGTAAACTTTTAACAGAGACTTTCTTAAAATAGAATTTCTTGAACTGAGGTGAAATTTTGAGCATCTGTATGCAAACATTGTCTCTATTATTACTGTGAATACTCTTCAATTAGGAGGAGGATTTACAATGGTGGTAATGACCTACTTCTTCTAATGTAACCTGAGCTGACCTAGCGTGTCCCACCCTATATAATCTGCTCATATAACAATGATAACAATAATATTTCGTCCTAATTGAGGCTCGGGTTTTTAAGTGCTCGCAAAGTGGGCAGTGATAAGCGCCTCGCATACATGACAGATGACACATCGAACGCAAGAAAACTTGGGAAATGTCGCTTCGACAATTTTGACCTATATATCAAACTGTATAAACTTTGGCTTCATATATAATAAGTGAATCTTCTGTCATCTATAAATAAAAAAATGTGCAAAATTACATGTAGAGAACGCGATACCTGATAAACAAATCTCCTCCTACAGTCATCTATACTAACGAAACTAAACGCTGTCCTGTTAATTTTTGTTTATCATTGTTTTTATTTATGCTAAATTAGGTGTCGTATATCATCTGTACAAGATCAAAGAGTAGTTTATCTTATCTAGATATACACAGTGTATAATTTACAATCATCACGTATAGATATTAGACTCCGGCGAAATATATAGTGTCTACCACTTTCATAGATAAACACAAAAAAACTCATAAATGCCCTTTTTATTCATATTTTCTATACACGTCTCCCATTTAAACTATCAATTTATACAAGTTAATGTTTATTAATACAACAACACATAAATATTTTAAATATCTGACGAAATGACAATTACACGTATAATGGTTTGGCTAGAAAAGCAAACTATTTAAAAATAATATGTATATATAATCAGTTATTGAAGAGGAAAAACTGTTTGATACGAAAAATAACTATAAATCATAAGTGAAAAGTTTCGCTTTCTAAAATTGAAAAATAATGTACGAATGTGTATAGGGAACGAAATTGGTCAGCCATTAATGTGTCACTGTAAATCAATGAATTTATTTAATAAGCTTTCACATGTTGAATATTTTGACAAATGTGTGTTTGATGTGAAGATGGGGAAAATGTTTTATTGCTTTTTTATTTGCAACATTGCAATCAATTTAACAGTAAGGAATGAAGGTTCACACGCGCGCTAATGTTTGCTTTGAAAGTTCACTTGCGCGTAAATGTTTGTTTTAACAGTATGAAATGGTGGTTCAAGCGCACGCTGATGTTCGGTTCAACTGCAAGGACGCGCGTGAGAATGTTAGCTTTAATAGAAAGTAATGAAGGTTCGCGCGAAACGAAGGTTTAAACAAACGTAAATGTTTGATATGAAGGCTCACGTGAGCGCAATGGTTGATCTTATTTGTAGGAACGAAAGTTCAAACGCGCACTAATGTTTGATTTAACAGTAAGGAATGACTGTTCACACGAGATACTTGCTTCACGCTTTGCTTTAACAGACGATTTCGATTTAATACGTTTTATTTCTATGCAGAAAGGTTGAAAAAATATCATTTATATTAATTTAAGTATATAAAGTTATTGTTAGATTATTTTCTACTTCATTATACAAAATAAAATAAAACAACAACAACAAACAGAAAGCTGTATGTTAAAAATGTAATATGGTAATAAAAAAATCTGTTCCTATGAAACAAGAGTTGGACATTTTTTACTATTACAGTGACATAATAAACTCAAGAACCCCGATGTTAATTTTAATAGTTTAAGGTATTCTTAAATCATTCCCCAGTCTTACTGACATTTTGTATCTTATTAACATAATGTTGTTTTCTAAATCACGATTGTTTTGTAGTTTAAGTTTTGTTTTCTTAATTTATATAAAAACATTCACTCACATAGATATATTAAAGGTTTATAATGTTGTCATATTTTTGCACAAAGTACGTGCAACCTAAGCTTCCTTTATTTTACCCTCCAAAAACTCTTTGAAATTATATAATAAAAACACTTTTATGAGTTAATAATTTATTACTCAATTCTTCCTAGTTTGCATATTCAAAACGTGATCCTTGATTTTCTGCATACTCTATCAAAGTTTAGACGCTAACTAGGCCCCAGAAACAGAAATTATGCAAGTTGCTAATAAGCGTTGGTCGTGTGTAAACACTTTAGAACTTATTAATTCTAGAGTTTTACAAAACCAGTACGTTTTAATGTATCAAATAACCATTATAACTAGCACTTAATTCTTGTTTAATTCAATAGCTAAAAGAAAAGACGTAACGAATTCTAACCCTTATCTTTATTGAGACAAAATATTATCTAATCGTAATAGAAGGACACTCTTGTAGGACATAAATCATGATTTAAATATATGATATTTGATTTAATTGTTTATACAGACTTTTTATGCTCGCTGTCGTAGTGTTATGTGTTTTGTTCCCATGTATAGATCAACTCAGAAAAGAAGAATATTGCATTTTAAGTCTGACGTATATATACACCAAATCAACATTAACCGAACTTTTTACATACGTTTACATTACGATAGTGATATTTTTTAAATGAATATGCCGAAAATTATCATAATAGACTGTTAGATAAAACAGATATTTGAGACTGATGATTTTTCTATATTTAAAATTAGTAGATAAGCAGCGGAATGATTACTCTAGCAATAACAGCAGTAACGGCAGAAACGTTTAAAATACCTCCAGGCAATTCTTGCTGCTCTCCAATGCGTACTAAAATAGAAACAAAAAACAGCAAGACTGTGGCATTTCATTGATGGATAAATTAATAATGTATTTGCACGATCAAATAAAATAGCATTCCATCAGTAATTAATTCTTATAGCATAGTGACTTGAATTTATATGTAATTAATCCCTCAATTAGGTATTATATTATAAAGATGTATTAAATATATCTTCAAGGACACGTGTTTCTGCTACATCATACTTTTCAAATAAAGTTGTTGGTTGGCTTCAAATATTCAAGCTATCTGTTTATTCAATATTATGTTTATTATCATAACAGCCTCCTTTGTACTGTCACAGTTTATATTATAATTATGTTTTTGTCCTACAATGTGAATGAGGTCATGTAAAAAAGACATGACAAGAGGTGGTCAAGCAACTTTATACTGGTCAACAGAATAAAGGAAAACTGTCAACGCATGTTCTGACCCTTAATGACTGATTTCAAAATTCACATATTGTGTGCTAAATCAAATCTGATTTAATGCAAGTACTAAATAAATTTCATTTCTCTTTTCAACTTAAAACAATTTTAATCTTTAATCACACGCGTGAGCAAATATTTAATATCCTTTTGTAAATCCTTTCGAATTAAGCGTCATTTATAAGACCTCAATAGCCACTCTTGGGCTTTAACTTTATCGTTGGAGAGTTATTAATGATTATAATCGACATGTTCTAAGGCACTTCAACGCACAATTTATTATAATGTGATATAAGAAAATTAGTGTCTAATTCCAAGAGCGTCTAAAATCCGTTAAGCCGTTTTTACCTAATCTCACATTTTGGACCAATGAATGGCATAAGGTCACTTTGGCCATGTGTACACATTCAGCTATTTTGACATTTGTCAAGCCATTTTGAATCTTATAAAGGTGTGTGTACTTTTCGTTTGTTTTCGTTAAATCGTGAAAAAGATATCGAAATGCTTGTGATGGGGTTGAAATCTGTTTGGGCATTAACCTGAGCGTAACAAGACACCTTACTAGAACCATGCTATGAATTCATTTCAATACATATATATAGACTAACGAAAGGATTCGAACTTTTCACTCTGAAGGTGTTTGGTTTGGCTATTTTGGCTATTGTACTATAGAATAAACTGAAAAATGATGCACAATTTAAAATTTGTTTTTTTAAACTTATCAAATAATAAAAGAGGGTTTTATCTTACAGATTCGCGATAACACTTGACAACAGGACAAATTTTAATTATATGTGGTACGCGATTTTTACTTTTGTCATGTAATTGTTCGTTGGACTTGGTCTCAAATTAAAGCGTAGCAGGGGGTCACAGATAGCGGCAACTTATCATTTTCAATCAAGCATTCTTTGGTGTTATGCTTTAACACCTTCGTGCATAAACTGTAAAGATGCGATACAGGATTAACTATGTCTTTTGTGAAATTTATTTTTCCTATATCCCTATGTACTTACAGTGGCCATGTTTTAAGAAATATAATCGCTTTGTTAAAGAGATTTGAAATAAATACTGTACACGTGTGAGCCTAATGTGTCAGTGTCAAAATTGATATTTTAAAAATGCAAATTTTCCAGCAATATTGAATTTTAGTTTTTATTCAGTTTAACTATAGCATCATTTTAGGTAGGAGGTGATATGCAAATATAAGGTATATCATTATATACAAATATAACTGTGTTTTAAACTTGAACATCTGTTAAAGCCTACAACATTTCACATTCCTTCTGATGATTTAGCGTTGATCTATGGATATTTGAGAGAGTAGTCTCATTTAAAGTGACAGACGATTGTCCTGTAAATAAAACTGAACACTTTCTTGTAGGCATTGTTCTGTTTGGCCGTTTACAAGAAACTGCATTAAAGAGAAGACAACTTAAACAAATTTCATTTAATTGCCTATAAGTCAATGATTGGATGAAATATTGTTTTCACATATCAGACTATGTTTTAAGATAGAACTATTTATTGTCTTTCACAATTAGTAATAATTTTACAACAATAAAAATCGAATTATTAAACTACGACATTTCATCCGATGACATATAATCCTTTATATGAAAAAAATGAATATGTTTACATTTTAAACTATCTAAAACTAAAGACAGTGTTAAAATCGATATGTACAGTGTGTTTGGAGATGAAATTAACAGACAAAAACGTACCGTCAAAATGAGCGATTTAAAGCAATTTATCTTAACTCCGATACTTATATTAAAATAATCTGTTTTCTTAACAAAAATGTTAATGGCTACAAATCGATCGCATGTCAAGGACTAGGCAATCTTTTGTCCCAAATGAACAGCTGTAGATATTTTAACAAAATTATATGTTTTCTAAACAAAACAATTAAATTTAAAAGTGTGTACTTCAGTACAAATAGTATATCTCTTCTGTATCTGATATTTTTAACTTATGGGTTCACGGAGTTTGTTAAAAGGTGAAATTGTTGTGGACAGTATGTTAATTACCCGATAATCATAGTATTGAATGACTCTTAATGACATTTTGTAAAGCATTTTCTTACGACACCGTGAAATTGTTCGGTTTACTTTTTTTAGGTTCTTTAATGAACTTTTAACGTCATTTAGCGGATTTGTGATACAAATTTCAACAGCTGTATACAGAAAAATTGTAGTGTTCTTTAAAAACTTGCGTCTGGCGTGTATTGTCACTCCTTAAGGTTTGTTTTATACTTATTAAGTCGGTCTGTATCTAAACATCAGAGAGTTATAACAATATTACAGGAACTTTGTCTTCGGAACCTTTAAATAAACAAATGATTATTGCGAGTCAAAAGAAACATAATTACTGACTACGGTCTGATAAAGGCTAAAATGCTGATAGATTTGTGTTGATTGATTTATGTTGATTCACTATAAACACAATTTCGCCAGAAAATGGAATGTGCGGTTTCTTGTTAAAAAAACAAAATGTATTTATTTTCAAATTTGAAGTTTATATTTCATGTCTGTTCATAAACAAATAGGAAGTTAGGGTGAATGATTAAGTTTTTGATATAAATTGGATCGGCAAGTGGGGTTGAGATTCATAGAATTTTATATATTTTGAGAATTTAAGCAATAGCCCACCCATCAACTTGTGACTTTAATATCTTCATTTTTTATCTGTCAAATTTGTTATTTTTGTGGGATTTTTTTCTTGTTCACCAACTATCCTTATAGTACCTACAAGCTGTTTTGCATACTGTCATCTCTATCATATGTGGGCATACATCGTTACGTAAAAATCATGCTATATCATTTTCAGTTTAACATATCTAGTTAATGGTTTATTTTAAGAATGGAAATTAGAAAGTAAATGATATATCAGACTTTATTTTTGTGTTATGCAATAACTTCTATATGTGTAACTTCGGTGCAACAATCTCACTTTCAGTAAGTCAATATTTCTCTTTGGTCTGCCCTGTCTCATAAACAGCTTTGTTAAAGTTCTATTTTATAGACACACGATGTTTAAATGCACAGCTATTTACAACTTTCTAAACTTAATACAAGCCCATGAAATATAAAACATGTCTGAAAAACAACCTTTTATATAAAAGCCAGGCATATCTTTCTTTGACAAACATTTTCTTCATTTTACCATTAATTGATTGATCACAATGTAAAAGTCGAGCTGTCAGATTAATCTTTGACGGTGCACCTTTATATTACACAGGTCTTGGTTCTATAAAACAAAGAAGCGAAAGACTATCTCATTTTAAATAGGGAAGTCGCCTCATTTAACTGTTACAAAGAAAACATTTACCGTGCCGTCAAAACATGTGTTTTGTTAATTTGTCAGTACAAACACCTGTCAAAAAACCCATATCTATCATCTGTCCCTTATCTAAAGACAGATTCTTGTTTGAACAGAATTATGCCTAGGTTTTTACAGTTGAAATTTAACCGGAACGATTTTGAAAAGTATAAGATTAAATAAATAAAGAGAGTAAAAACTACCTTTGTTTAAAGACAGTTAAAAGTCAGTTAAATGATAATAAACCCTCCCACAAAGATTTTAACAGTTTCATACAAAGTTTGCGTTGGTTTTTAGTGTATAAGGTGAATATCAAGAGGTTTACAGTTCATCTCGGGTATATATCTGGTTATAATATAGCTGGCTGTACTATAATTCTTTACAAGCGTTTAATTCTTCAACAACAACAGCAAGAACATTGACAATCATGTGAATGCACAACGTTCAACACACCTTTTGTACATTCTATTTTCGGAATTAGAATTTTCGTACTTTTTTTTGTAATTATAATTTTAAAAAATAAAAAACACATCTACGAAGTTGAAACAGGTTGGCTGCAACTTAAATAGCAAATTTTATGGTCATACCTTTAATAGCTTTGGTACTAATATGTAACATGTTTTCAGAGATGTTAAATACATTTTAAATACCTTTATCAGATTTGATTGTCCGATTACAAATTGTCGCAAAAACGTTTATGGTATTATTAAAACTTTGGCCAGTCGGATCTTATTTCATCAATGAATACACAAAGTTGTGAACGAATAAATTTTAACATTTTATCAAGATCTTAGAACATATACCTTTCGTACAAAAATGCAATAAACATGTAATAAAGATTTACGGCTTTTCATCTACCTTTCATGTTTTAGCTTTTTTTTTTTTTTTTTTTTTTTTTTTTTTTTGCTTAAAGGTTGTTGATGGTGTGGCTTGGTTATATGATTTTCATTTCCCAGTTATGGAGAAAATCCCATTCAGAATTTAAAAAAAGCATTGAAGATAAGAAATATATGAAAAGATAATATAAACATACATAAATCAATGATAATATTAAGTATATAAACTCTTTCTATTACGTTATTTCAAGAATTTTATTTTCTATTGACATAACTTGGCTGCAATCAAACAATTACATCAATTCTCGTGCGGGAACATATTTTCTAAATATGATACTAACCCCTTTTCTTTCGACATAAATTATCTACCCTTTTATAACATCCTGACACGAAGATATGCTCGTATCCAAACGTTGCGAAAATCTATCCCTTAGTATATAATAATATACTATATTTTCAGTTATTGGGGGAATTTCTTTCTTCATTTCTTCTTCTTATTTGTGCGTTTCAATTTCGAAGCGTGTGGTCGTTAAATAACAGTTATTTTACACACTGGTTATGGACAGGAGCAAGGTTGAATAATTTAAAAGTTTCAACCATGCAAAATGTGTTTATAAAAGGCTTTACCAACTTCTAAATTATACTCAGTATCAAAGAAAATGGTTGATATCACGCAAACACATTCCGCGTGTTATACCCGAAACTTGTAGTTGTATATAGTTACTCTACATTGCACGCATCATGAACATATTTCAGCAAAACATACACTCTGTGTGTTTTGAATGAGGTTGCTGATTTGGGAAGTGCAGACAAAATTTACATTTGAATTCATTGCGATGAAACAGGATACGCATAAAATATTTGTTGACATGAATCCGGAATATTTCTGTTTCGCCGTCCTTTTTGTCGCTAAATATTTTGCACAAAAAAGCCATCGCTTTCCGCTTCAAAGTTTTCATTTCGTTTAAATACTCTTGTGTTTTGTCTATATTGGAATTTCGTAAACAATCTACTTACAAATAAGACATTTAAACCCATGTCATTATGTAAATTAGCCAATCAGCATGCGTTATTTACATTTCACTGCACAACATATTTTCATGTGTGTCCTTGAAATCCGAAGGTCACATACACTAAAGTTAAAGACCTCGGCTCTGCTCTTGAAAAACTACACGTCATTAGCCCTTACCCTACTAAGCCCAAAGATGACCAGTATTTGCCACCAGTGTAGACTAGTCTACACACTCCTGCACACTTTATACTGTTGACTGACCTATTTTAAGTCGTCATCTCAATATCAAAAAATTAAAATTAGATAACAGTTTAAGATATATGGGCTGGACAAGTCTATATATGAAATTCAGCAGGCTAAAGGATAATCACATGTATGTTTTTATTTTTCAGACAAAAGGCAAGTCAAAGCGGTGTCAATTTAAAGAGGAATATTCGGATGATAAATACACACATTATAAAACAGCAGACGCAACCAAAGACTGGTATTTAGGTTTTAAGAAAAATGGCAAACCTCTGAAGGGTACAGACATTAACTCATTTAATGTAAGAAATCAAGATTGTTTTAAATTTCAAAAGTTGCATCCAACACGAACTTCTGAGGAAACAATTTGTCCTCCTGGTAATGGAGATGGACCGAAGAGTGTAAATTTCTGTGGTAACCATATTTTGGACTTGATTAAACCAGAAACACAAACACCGGCTAATAACCGAGTTCGCCATGACAATAAACATCATAAACGGCGAGGGAAAGGATGAACATAATGTGAATTATGTAGTGGAAATTTAATGAATTATTGGTGGTATAAGCACCGAATGCCAAGTATTTGTTAACGTCATCGTTGACGTCACTAAATGATGTCAGCAAGCTCGACGCGAAGTGTTTATTCGAAGTCACGTGATCAAATTTTATCACCGCAGTGTTCAACAAAGACAATACGTCAGTTCTTGGTCAGTAATACATAGGTAGTAAGTACTTGTACACTGATAAACTATGTATGGAATCAGGTACTCGCGATTTACATTCACTTACGAGAAACAGTATTTCGTCTTAACGGAATTCCTTTGAAACGACAGACGTCTGATCCCAGAGAATGGGTCATTGTTACAAAAGATTGTTTTGAAGTGGTGCTGAACATTAAATGTTATAAAGAGCATTTTCGATGAGTTGTTAGTCGATATTATGTGTATTATGTTGTGTGTAATTTAATATGAATGTATTATAAAGCATCCACCATATATAAATATATTATTATATATTATAATACTTAATTATATATGTACATTTCTACAAATTTGAAGTTGTAATTAGGCCAGTAGCTTTTCCACAACAGTCATTTCTTTGTTAAGTTTCATTATAGAACTGATTTTAAGGTACAGAGCAGTTCAGTTGTTTGAATATGATAGCAAACAAAAAAGGAAACGTTTTGTTACTATATTTTATAGGTGCCGCCAGACTTCTAAATAGCATAGATTAACAACAGGTGTGAAATATTTAAAAACACTGTATCATTTATTAAAAAGCGATGCATCAATATTTCCTGAACGGAAGAGGGATTAGATAAATTCTGAAGTCATAATAACCGGAAATTGAACAGGATTTATCAGCACAATTTATGTTACTTCGGTTGATATTTTGATGCCAAATTTCTTTGTTAAGAAATACCCAATTACATTTCGTTCGTTATAATTACTTTACTTGTTTTATTGTCTTCTAATAGACGTTTTACAATCTATTTATATATTCATTTCGCAGAATCAAAGTCAGACAGTGGTTCAGAATTGTCTTCAAACTAATCTTCTTGTAACTGAATTTCAATACAAGTAACCACTTCAAATAAACGTTTTCCTTCTATTGGAATTTGACTAGAAACTTTATTTCGGTTATTTTTATTTTTCATTAAAATGCGTAGTTGAACAATGTTAGATGAAATAAAAAAACAACCAAACGAACATATATATACTTATTCTGTGAATTGACTGCTACCATCGTCTCACACAATGTTCTATAAATAGTATATCAACGATAAGTTTTAGGATGATAACAACATTGTCTTTTTATTTTGAGTGTCCAGGCTAGAAATAAGTACATATCTTCTTTTTCGCTTTGGTAATACGTTCATAAAGGTAAATCTTCATATACATTTTATGTTTCAAATAAGCGTTAACCTTGGCGAAATAGCGTTAACCTTCGGGAAAATGTCTGAACTGTTTTCTTGCACAATTTCAATAAATCTTTAGAAATCTCTCCAACTTCACGCCTCTGTTTCAGATCACGTTATGACATTTTATATAATTTCAAAATTAGAATATTGTTCATGTGTTTTTATGTCATATACAGAACCTCCATTCTCATAAACAGACACGCTATTGTCGTTTTTGCCACTGCTTCATCTGAATGTCTTTGTTTATAGTATATGTTACTAAAGAAATAGTGAATCAAATATTTATTTATAATTTTGTACACTCCTAACACGTTTTTATAGTCATGAACAGAAAGTAAAATCAAACCATATCTAGACATACCAGTGGTAATTATCTTTTATTTAAAATTAAATTATAGTCTGCGGCGAAAATAATATATGAACAATTTAAGTAATTATACATTCTCCATGATCACATTGTCACGTGGTTAGATACAGCGATTTCATTTACTTTGCTCTACGAATTAACAAATTCCATATGACTTTCAAAGTTCTGGCTATATTTCAATATTAATTGATGAAATTAAAATGTAGAGCATAAGTGATGATAAGTGAAATATGTCTTTTTCGAATCTCAATTCATATCATTTCATTGCGTTCTAATTTACTATCATTTAACAATCATATATTTTTTTTTTTATAAATTTCATGTCAGTTTTTAGGATACGTAATATATTCTACCATAACAGAAAAAAATAGCCTTTTACAAACTTTTCTTTACCAAAGCCAATAGATGAGACATGTCGCAGCACAGTCTACGAGAACAAACCTTTCTTGAAAGGAAGAAGACAGCCTTACATATAATAATATGTATATTAATATGAATGCAGCTTCAAAAACTAAAACTTGATCTTTGACTTCTAATACTCTATTGCTTATAACTAAATTATAAATCATATATTAATATATTATATAATAATTTATAATTGAGTTATAAGCAATAGAGTATAAGAAGTCTTTAAGTTTTGGAAGCTGCTTTCTTGGAAAAACATTATTTCACAAAGTTAAACAAAATAAAATTGTTCTTGCATTCCTATCATTGCCATTGTATGTTTCTTTGCTTCCTGTTTATCAAGGTCATTTTCATACGTTATATGTATACAATCTGTTGTTATTCTCTGTTAGTTTTGGTGCAACATTGTTATTAAATCACTCTGTCACCCATTCATAACATAACATGGTGCATGCACATCCTAGATTTTAGAAAACTGTCATTCAAACTGCAACTGTTTAGATATTGGATCATGTTTCAACTATATTCACTATAAAACATTCAACTAAAGAATTCAAAATTTATAAGTTTTATAACTTACACCGATACACATCTCCATCATAAGGTGTAACATAAATGTAGTCACATCCCTCGTAAGTCTTGTAATCATTTGAATAACAACCAGTAAAACTGTAACGTCAGATATTTGTATTAGATAGATTTATAAAGTTATGAAAATATAAGTCTCTTATTTCATTCATAATGTTAGGCAACAAATGGCTTTGATATTCATAAGAATAACCATAGCATACATTTCTATCTTTTGACTGTATGACTTAACATTATTTAATGGAAGGCTTTTAGTATCACTAAAACTCAAGGATATAATTATGACGTAAATTGAAATTTTATTTTACTTTTAATGGCAAAGATTATTTCGTGATTTTTTACAATTTCTTTTGTATAAAAGATATATGGATATTTATTTATTCAGTTCACGGGAGATAGAAACAGCGATGAAAACGTTCTATTTACCTTTTAAGTTTAAATGATTACATTTACACATTTTACAGACATTACACTAACATATGCAGCTACATATAGTGTAAAGGGTTATATTTTGATGATGTAACATTGTTATTGTTGATACGTTATTATTTTCGTTTATTTGTCTTGTTTTTTTTCTGTTCAGTACATTGCAATATCATCAACTTTCCATTCATATATGTACATAGTTCGACATACAATTTTTCATCGTCTTTTGTTTAAAAGTTCGAACAAAAATACATTGCCTGTTTGCATGTATGTAATTAGACAATATGTTTTTCGATCGAACAGTTCAAAAGGTATATACATATTGTATTGTACATTGTCATCTTGTATGCCAAAGATAATATTTATTGAATTAAGATGTATATATTAATTGTCCCCAAAGTGTACTTATTTAAGCACGAAAAATGCGCTCTGGTCGCCTAAATGAAATAAATTGTTACTTTAATATTTATAACTTACAGTTATGTTGTCATTTAATTCCGATTTAATTACCTGTAGAGTAGCCTCCAAAATGGCTATCCTGTTTACAACTTCCAATTTATGCCAACGCCAGCCTAAAAATTACAATTCAGCACGTGCTGTATTTCTGCCAAATCTGATTAATTAAATTAGTGTTAATTTAAAACAGAGTGAAAATATATTGTTTTTGTTCTATTGCATTTTCAAACAATTTTTTAGCATGCTAAATTAATATTTTTTCTCCTGTGTCGACGATGACTTACTTTTAAAATATATAATACTCGGAGGTAAATGTGGCAACCTATAATAGAATACTTGTTGTCGTTGAAAACATAGTGTCATTAAAAGATATCCGGCCATGGTAAACATGGTTGAGCCGTTGCTGACGAAATTCTAAATGTTCTAGTATTGAAGACATATGATCAATAACTTGCTATGACATCACACATATGACCTGCCAAGTTCCTCATTTGGTGATGGACATTATATATTTACTTACAAATTCACCAATTTACTCTATAAGTTTAAAATATTGCATTTTAGCGAGGAATACACGGGGAAAAGCCTACCCTTTTAACTTAACAAATGCCGGAAAAATGATGGCAAAAAGCTTGTGAATACAACGGAAGCCGGGGTGAAAGTAAACGTCCTAAGGCCGAATAATAACAAATTCTTTTTTTTTTTTTTTAAATAGACTGGCAATGTTTGTTAATATAACCATCTACAATTTCTTTGAGCTGATTCTAAATACTGAAAAAAGATGAAATAGAAACATTCAATTCATGCAATAAGATTTTTAAACAAGTTCAGAGGTGACAACACGTTTGCAGAACCATCCTGTTGTGCCAAAACTGACGGCATGACTTTAGCAGATAGAATACATGTCCTGTACACGGGACCGGGAAAAAACCGAATCGAAGGATATAGTTTCTGGTATAAGAGACAGCCATTAAAAGACAAATAAATGAAGACAAAAAACAAACACGCTTAGCGCTAATGGTTATAATTCAATTTCTACTTATTTTTTCGACACATTTAAGATAAAGTGTTTATATATATATGGTCATAGAAGATTGAATTAAGACAAATGACAACTGGGATTGCATTAAAGTTCTTGACAATGATGGCCTGATTTGTGTGTTACAACACATCTGAAAAATACCATACTTACAGGGTACTGTTGTAATTTCGATAAATATTACTATTGCCATAATACAATATGGGGAATGACAAAACTTAATCAACAGAATATGAAAAATAGTCGAAGTACCTTAAACAAATAGCCAACACAGCCAAATTAAAATTGTGCTGAACTCGGGTAAATTGCTCCTGATAATGGATGACAGTGGTATATTCAAGCTACCGTACCCCCCCCCCCAGCACCGGCTTTGGCAGATCACAATATTTAAATATGGTAAGGAATACGGGAAATTTATTGCTGAAAATTAATTGTCTTTTCTTAAAACAACATAAAAAATTATTTTATATGTTCATGTCTTTAAGAAGCAGATTTTAACAGTTTTTCATCTGTATAAGTTCATGACACCAATGATCAACGATCAGATAAAACCTAAATAGGTTCACCTGACTAGACTATAATCAGCTAAAGACAAAAGATACTGGCTATCACACGTAGAGTTTTCTCTGCTATATATGCATTATTATCTTTATGGAATTCAGAAAAAAATGAATTATTAAAACATACCGGGAACAAATAACTGAAACCCCTTTCTATGTATTTTTCAAGTTTGCAGGATATCTCTAAGAATTAGCGCTAGTCATGATTTCAGATTTGATACACATAGTAAGATGAATGTTCCGTTTTTATAATACATGCAGTTAGATTATAGTTGACAATCTGAAAATATAAAAACCAGCGGTTAGCATACAAATGTATATAGATAAACATTTATATATTACAAATGTTTATTTATATATTTAAAAAATTGAAGTATAATCAAATACACGAGATATCGTGACTTTCCTTTCAAAAAGAAATCAGTTATCAAATGGGAAATGAATGTAAACATGCTTCATCAAGAAGAAACAGTGAGACCTCTGTTTGGATGATTGTAGGACAATTATATATACCGAATGACATTGTATACAGAAACTACGATATAAATTTACTTACTGCATCGCAAAGATAGACTTTTTGAATAGAACAGGATCTTAAGATACCATTATTTTAATTGAATGAATGTAGTTGACAATTTGTTTATAATTTTCCAAAAGATTGCTCGTTCTGACTGGATGAACACTAGGCATTTCATATATTCATCTTAGTTATTATTCACGGTGAGTTTTTCACAGCATGAAAAGGCTTTGCCATTAATAAAATATATTTTTGATAAAATAATGTTAAACCACGCTGTAATGAATAATTGCTCGTCACAGCTAACAAACGCTGGACCGCTGGACAGCAGTAAAACAAATGAGAAATCGCCAGTCAAAGTACGCGGTCCTTGTCCCAAACTGAACCTTCCAAAGCAATTAATTACTATAATAACAAATTTTACCACATTAATAATTTTCTTCATAGAACAGTGTTTGCGACATAATCCATTTCATTTTAGGGCCTTTTATTACATACGCATTAAAACACCTACATTTTCCTTGCGATTATGAGATGAATGCCCCTTTATACGTCTTACTTTGTATGATGACTGATTCACAATTAAAATTGTAATGGTCGCTTTCTTTATTTTATACGAGCAATAAGGAGAAAATAGTCTATCTAAAACTTCCATTATCCGACGATATATAACATATTAATGTTGAACTTATAGAAGAGCTGTTTTAAGATTTTAATTATACAATGTACCTTAAAACATATTCGCCAAATAAAGATTTGATCAACACTTAAGATGAATAAACATTGCGTTGATCAAGGACAATTATAACACTTAAAATAGAAATCAAATAAATTTCTACGGATTGCCCTTTATTTTAATGATATTTAAGTTTCTCATATTTTTAAACAATTACAATGAGACAGAGTTATTATTACAATTGAGAAATTCATATTAATCAGAGGTGTGTCCCTTATGCAATAATTCATAAATGCAACATTATTTTCTCGGCATTTGTCATCATGTAATTTCAATATAATTATATAAAGACAACATTGGCTTATCAGTCGTATATGATAGAAAAAATGTTTGTCCATTATATTAACTTATCACGCCATGACAAATTATTTTAATATTTAATGACTGAAGAATGCTTTACCAGGTGTATAGAAGCTAGCGAGTTATTTTTCATGAAAAAAATAACTAAATCAAAATCTGCACTTACCAAATTTATTTTCATTTCACAATGACTTCAATAAAATAACTCTTCCTTAATCTGTGTTATACATGTTCATGTTTTACTTTTTATTTTCATGTCAAAGAAATATAATTTACCAATAATGCATTTAAGACAGTAAGACTAATACTATTTATTGTCTGTAATAGTTAACTAAAATTAATTTACACGCAAAACAGGAGTTAAATGAAACAGAACATATACTTTAAAATATTTGATGCACATAAAGCAAGCACATTTTTCATTACCCCATTCAGCATAATATGCACTAAGAACACGGCAATAAAGATACATTTATACGATTGTTACTTAAAAAGTCTGTCTCAGTCTAAATTAAAGCCCGCCTCTGCAGTTTTCTAGGCAATTTATATAAGTTTACATAAATATCTTCAATGTTATATTTCTAGAAATTTAAGTTCGAAGTGACATTACAAAATTATTTTGCTATTATATGGGTTTTCATGAAATGGCATGAGAGAGTCACAATGAAGTTTCCATTTATAACCGCCATATGAACACATCTGCAGACGTTTCAAAATTCAAAATGTCATCATTTTTCGTTTTTAAATGTTGAATTCTGTTTAATACTGTTCTAGGGGCGTGACAGGTAGCTTGCACTTTCGTATCGTCCATCAACAGGCTCTATCAATCCGAGCCTGCAATATTTTCAATTTTGTCGTTTTGGGTTTGCTTCAGGTAGTCCGTATTTTTTTTTTATAAGGAAAACAATATATTTCTTATATCTTTCTTATATCTTTCTTATATCTAGTATCGGGTATTCCGGTGTATTCCGGTATTTCGGTAGTGTTTCGGTATTTCGGTTAGTCGTGTGACCGAGGAAAATACATTCCCTATCTTCGCCAATAACATTTTGAGACAATTTGAGAAAACAATGGTTAAAACATAAACAATTTAACGCTTAAAGAATATAGGTTGTAGTGACATTTTAGTATACGATTAATTCGTTAAGACATTCAATGAAGTATCAAGAAATAGAAAAAATGATATACTTTATCAAATTAAACAAAATAAACATAGTATTACATTTAAAAAATAAAAATCACTCAATTTTATAAACACCTGAAAACCTTGATAATAACTATCACAAATAATTATTATATGACGTGTTCTGATTAAGCCGGTGCAATATGGCTTGAGGGACACAATACATTACGTGCCCCTACCCTCATCCCACTGGGAAGAGACCCATCAGAGCATCGAACAGAAATGGGGCAAAAACGGGGAACCGGCAGTGTAATAAAGACGTCGCTGCAAATTGATTAATTAGTAGTTGAAAACGTAAGAACTCAATAGAACATTTGTAACCCTTGAAAGGTTCATTAGTATAGATTTACTTTATTGACACTGGCGATTATCAATGTTGCATACTACAGTTCATCTAGGTTTTTTCCTAGTATCACTTTAATTAAATCGAGTATATACTCGTATCATGCATGTATGAGATACATCAATAAATCAAACCGAGTCTGCAATATTCATATAATTTTGTTTTAATTTTTGCTTTCTAGGGATCACACTTTATCAAGATTTTCAAGTTGTTTTCAGAAAGAAAATGACAGATCCCTCGGATAAATATCTGAAAAAAAAGTGATCCCTCGGAAGTATTGAAAACAGCAAAATTACATATAGGTTGCAGACTTGATTTGATTGAGTATGTACACCGGC